AATCCTCGAGTATTTGTTTATCCGGGCCATTAGTTCCCCCATATCCGAGGGAGTCTTCTTGGTCAGGGATCGGTACAGGTCCGTGTCCCTTGCCAAGCCGAGCCGAAAAGATGCTGCTGCCATGACCTCCGAGCAGCCTTCTACCTCATTAACCTCTTCCCAGTATCGGATGGCGTACTGGCGAAGAGTCTCGGATTCCCTCCTTCTGAGGGTCAGCAATGATCCAATGTCTTTGGGGCGCTTACTCCCCGTAATGAATCGAGCCAGAAACTGCTTCGTCAATTCCTTCCATGATCCAATACTGTTGGGGGGAAGCGCCTCGAACCACTTCATCGCAGAGTCCCCCAAGCTCATAGGAAACACTCGGCAGAGAAACCGTTGGTCCGAATGATAGAGGGACATCATCTGCTTGTATTGCCTGACATGGGCTTCGGGATCGGACCGCCGTCATAAGTTTTGAACCGCGGCACGACAAACTTTCTTGAAACCTCCATCTCACCGATCTCTCTCGTAAAGGGTGTTTGTATGACTTCGTCCTCGGCCTCATCCTGGACAGCCTTACCCTTTCTCCTGGAGTCTAACCGGGCTCTGAGATCAATCTCTTCCCTGACGGGATGCCTTCTGAAGTCCTTGAGTTCATCGGTAAGCCCCTCATTTCCTGGGCGTCGTGTGGATTGGGTTGAGTCCTCCTCGGATTCATCTCCCTTCCTCCGTCTAGACAAACCTCGCCGGAGGTCGTCCAGGGCCAATGGCCTTGCTTTCCTTGAATGGTTGTCATGATGATGCTCGCCGGCTCTGGGTCGCTTTGGGGCCCTAGAGCTTTCTGCCTTGTTGTTTAGGTGGTTTCTTAGGTCCTTCGTTTCGCCTCCCGGGCGGGAAGCCCACGAGAAAGGAATGAATCCCTCGATCCTTCGCCAGAGGCGGCAAACTCGTTGAGCCGGCTTAGGACGTTTACATTGTCCTTTTCCAGCTGTCGTAATCTATCGCCAAACTTTTCTTCAATCACCTCCGCCAGCTGACGAGCCAAGGGGGCTGATCCCCTGACCTGATTCCCATACTGGTTTGAGGGGTAACCCCTCTTGACCGAGTAGAGGCACTTTTATTCATATTGGTGTGATCCCTTCCTCCGTGATGACAGGGAGCTTGTAACTCGAGACTCCTTTGGTGGGGGCCTTTCCCTTTCTGTCGAGTGTTCACCATGGTCACTGTTCTTTATAGAGAAAAAACTAGGAAAACTAGTCGTTTCCCACAGACGGCGCCAGATTGTGCGTGCAGGATCCTGCACAATATAAAAAACGAGAACAGATCTCTCCCTTGGTGAACTCGAGTGAGCCAGTTGAGTGATCGACCACGCTGCTTGGAACAGCCAGCGAGGTCCGGTGGTAACCTAGAACGGCAAAGGGAGACCCTGGGGGAGCAGAAGAACGATCCAGCAAGGCTGAAAGTGGTCCCTGGAACAAAGAAGAACAGGTTAGAAGGGCGTCGGAGTGTTTTCCGGCGTATCCCCTCCGACGATCTAGTCAGTCTTTTAGAAAGAGAGAGGAAGGAGAAAACACTGAGTGTGTATTGTAGTAAAGAGTTTTTTGTTGCATACCCGTCTTGCCTTTTGCAAGGAGTATTTATACCTCAAAAGCTCATGATTGCTGTCAGTGTAGTCAGTAGGTGATCATTAGGTACAGGCAGTGTGCGCACTGATTCTGATGAGGAATGTCTTCTCTTCTTAACTGCTCGGGGTCCCGAGCAATCAATGCTGGGTCATCGGGATGCCGACGGTACAATGTACTCATCTCGAGGAGGATGCAATAAATGCTCTGTATTAGGAGCATTTATTGCCTTTCATTTCCGAGCCTTACCGCATTGAATGCGGTCTCATCAAGGGAATGGTGTAATTAATCGTTTGCTTTCCCAAGTCGCATGTCAGCAACGGCATGCGATTTCTCTGTCTTCGATGTGATATCATACGCCACGTGTCCATCCCCTATTGGCTGTGACCCCTGCATTCCAGTACGTTCTAACACTAATTGTGTAAGACGAGGTCATGATGAATAGCCTAGACTAGCCTAGGCTAATGACCTGTACGTCAATAGCTTATCCTGGAGTAGAGGAAGCGTCCAGGACGGGGTACCTCTCGGCATCGAGGAAAGGCTCATCTCGGAACCGAGGGAGGTATACCGACCGAGGTACCATATCAGACCGAGGCTACGTGTTGGTTGTAACTCGTACTAAATGTCATGATCCTATATGACGAGTACCTCGGGGACGAGGACCTTTATGCGCCGATGGTGCTTGATCTTAGCAACAGTGTTTTGGTAAATACCGAGGACACGTGTCTTCATCATGGAGTATTTCAGAAAAGTCCCATCACAAATTATTAAAAAAATTATAGAATTTGGAATTTCACTTAATTGAAAATTTTACAGAAGTAGGAATCATTATTTAATTTTTATTTTCATTTATTATTTAATTTTAAATTGTCTTAAGTTAAAAAATACAAGAGAGGTAAGTATTAATGCATAAATTATGCATTTTTATGCACCCAAAAATAATAAAATTAATAAAAAAACTTATTATAAAAATAGAAGCTCTAGAGAGAGACCAAGTTTTGACAAAAAAAAAAGAGACATCAAAAAAAAAAAAAAGATGAAAAAAGAAAAAAGAATAAGACTCTAGAAACCAAAAAATACTAAGCAATCAAAATTATAAGTTATTATAACTAATACCAATAAAGGATACCACTTACCGACATAAACATCAAGGTATACCTTCCCTCTACTCTCCACACAAAATGTACGAGAGAGAGAGGCGATCGAAGCTCTAGTACCAAGCATGACCGATTGTCATGAGATGAAGACTAGAAGAATAACTGAAGAAGAAGAAGAAGAAGAAGAAGATGATGAAGAAGAAGAGGAAGAAGAAAAGGGAGACAGAAGCTCACTTGCAATCGCAAGGTTTATTTTACCAAGTTTGCTTCCAATCTCTTCTTCTTACAGAATATCTTCTAGATAATATGTGGGAGACAAAAAAATTGCTCCTATTTTTCTTTGCATGTGGGTTTCTCACAGATTTGTTTATCTTTCATCTGGGTGTTGGCTTCATCTATTTTTGCCTTGTCCTTCTACTGATTTGGCCAATGATTATGCGATTTCTTCACAACTCATCCAACTTGGGTTACAAGTTGATCTGAGTCAACCGAGTTAAGTCCGAGTTGTATCCGAGTCAAGGCAATTCGAGTGAGACTCGGGTATTTGGTGTATGGCGTATCGGTATCATTTTGATAGGGGCAGAGTCAGATATGACTTGGACGATACTTTGAACCCTTTCTTTACTTTCATTAGCATTTTGCAGCCAAAATTGTGAAAAGAAAAATATAGACATGGTGACTGTGGATCCCACTATATCACAATGCATTGGTTAGTATCAAATCATATTCTTGTGTCGTAGGTATGGTATGAGGGTGCGAGCAATGTTAAGACTAATGTATCTACGGCCATATTGGGATCAATTACTCCTTTGAGAGGGTTTATCTTACTACCATAGCAACAACTCAAGGATAAAAAACAAAATGATAACGCCAAATTTTAAGGTAGTAGCATAGCCCACAAATAAAGTGAGAATTTGCAAATGGTAAACCTTTGCTCTATGTAGACAGCCTTAGGCATTCAAGGGACTCAAATCACTACCCTTTATTTATCATGTAAGCTAAGTTCATTATGTTACAAATAAATTTAATACTGGAGAAAAAGAAGAAGAAGAAGAAATCAAAAAGTAGAAAAAAGGAGAAGAAAAGTGGGGTTGCGCCCCAGTTGTACACTCCCTTCGTTCTACAAATCCTTGCTGATTCTAAACTTCGTTTACGAAGGAATCGGACTTTTGATGGGCCAGCCCTTTTTTATGCACTGCTTTACCGAAAATGAGCTTTGTTCCTCTAGGCGCTCCCATGGTTAGCGATAAGGAAAAATGACTCATCCATTGTTGCATCTGGCACGAGAGGATAAAGAGAGAGCTTCGTCTATCAATGAACAGCAGATTGACGAAGCTCTTAACATTGCTTTGTTTTTCTCTCTTTTCCTATTAGCGAGTTCTGACCCTTTTGTTCGAAATTTCTTCGTTCGCTATTGAAATTCTAAAAGAGTTTCATAATCAAACTCTCAAATTACTGTCATACTAAACTCTATGATAGTTTTCTAATCAAACTTAACTTTGACCAACACTCATAATCAAACAATAAAGTCTAACTCAAGTTTATCCAATTCCTTTCAATCTCTATCAAAATTAGATACATGTACAGTAATATGCTTTTCTTCATGAAGCAATATAATGCGTCCCATGTTTCATTTTGCCGCCAACTGCTATGATGTCATACCTATGCTTCTATATGACTCAGATGATTCACAACTTTCTCTATGGTCACCCAAGCGCATCACAAAGGAAGAGACATGCTAAAGGATCAAGTGTGTTCACAATATACCACATATAGGTGTTTCTTTGTCAAAAGAGGGAGGGGAGGGGGGAGGGGGATGGGATTCATCATCCTAACAAAAATTATTTCCCAAGTGCATATCATATACACTATTACATCCAACTAAAACACAAAAAGTTGTACCTGAAATAGTAAACCATCAGTTTAGTAAAATATATTTTAGCCCCAAGGCACACAAGTACCCAACTCATTTGGCAGGAGTGAATTGTCTTCTAATAAGATGGCCAAGAATTTTTGGGAACATTGTCCTATTGATCTTTGTAGTCAAAGTTATTAATGATTGGATGACCATATGGGTGGGTATTTGAAAAATAATAAGTTGCTATTTCTGAAAAGAGTGGAGTCAAAAAACAACTATTAAACTTATGGTTCTATATTTTGTAGAAGACTGAAGATTAATGAAGACAATAACTCAATTAAGACTTGAGACAAGCTAAAAACATGATGACGACATAAGAAAATTCAACTCATTTATAAATTAACACTACCATGCGGTTCAAAGATGTGGTCAAAAGGAGACTTACGCTTTATGCCGCAACTCGAACCAAAGTTCCTCATCAGAAAGAGGTGGAGATTTGCCAATCTCTACCTCAAGCCGAAACCTAGCTTTTTCAATTTTTAATTCCTTAACCATTTCAAGTTTTTGGTGTCTTCTCACATCAAGCATTTGTGCCGCAAGTGGTACAGTCTTCACATATCTGTTCAAGCCATTGAGGTCGGTCAGTTGATCCAATTTTCAAACATAAAATGCCAAGCACACTTATAATCATAAGCCCAACAAACTAACTCCTCAAAGGCAAGTAATTATTAAAGACGAAATTACAGATCTTTGTCTCCCTTGCTTTTGTAGATCTTTTTTAGACAGCTATATGTTCAAGTTTGCAAGAATGAGAAGTTCATTGAGATGAAAAGTGAAATATTTGGTATTGACGAGTGTTTCACAGTACAACTAATATACAAAGTTGATAGTTCCTTTTGAAAAAAATTCTATCAGATCATCTGTTTCTGAAAAAAATGTATACATTTAATTGCAACAACAGAAAGATGGACAAAGTAAAAGGAGACATCACAGGGAAAATGGAAATAAATATGAGTACAAACCATCTCCAGAAAAATACTGCTGAAACAGAGATCATTAATTAAAGCATATGAAAACACACAAGCATCAAATATCTTTATTAAACAGGCAGAAGTAAAACAATTATGGAGAGAGAAAGAAAGAGCCCCTAAAGATCTTTCAAATAATCATTCTATTTTTCAATTTCCATGAGATTCTCATTTTTCCAGACTTAGGCCCATCCGTAAGCTTTCAAAAACTCATGCATATGATCCAAAACCATTCTATCCAACATAGTGATCCCTATGAGTCAAATTTCATTCTAAAAAACATTTAAGCTTCCCAAAATCAGAATGTACAGAAATTTTTTGCAACAATCTCCCTATATCTTTTTTTTTTTTAATCAGTAAAATCTCCTTATATCACTCTTCTACATCAGTAATGAACTGTCATTCCTAATGTTCTCTTTTGGTGCATGTGAAATACAGGCTTAACTAAGAATACAAACTTAGATGCACATTACACCAGATATCTAGAACTAAATTTACAATAACTTTCTGATACAGATCTAAAACTGATAATTAAATATGTCAGTGTCACAACCAGAACATCAAGAGGGACTAGTAAAAGAGGGAGTGTCACAACCTGTACGAGTCCTCACGGAAAAAAAAAAAAGATGAATTAAAGAAATAAAAACCATCATAACTAAATATCACGTCCCAGATACCCAAAGTAGAATCACGCACGGAAGGACTGGAACTAATTTTTGCAAGGAACAGCATCATTGACCAACATACTTCATTGATAACAAATCATCAAAATGGAGAAAAACATTTATGCAGAAAGAGGTTATATAAGCCATCATTTTGCCAATACATAAACTTTTCCATCTTAGGAGAAGTCTACAGAGGGCCACTAGTTTAGTTGTCAAAATTAGGCCCACTAACCTTAAGGTTATGGGTTCAAACAAGAGGGCAGCCACTTTGTGGCTTGTGTAAATAATGCCAATTAGGTACCCTTCCCAAACCCTTGTTATTGTGGACTAAACAAGGTGTTATTTAGGAGTAACCTAGATATACTTTGTTTTGGCTGTGCCCCCCTTCAGTAACAAAAGCAATGGCAATAAGATGAAATTTAAAGCAGATATCAAGATCCTAAATAATTGTGGGAAAAACATATGTATTAAATCCCCCATCTTCGTCAACAAGAATCTACACAAAGGTTCAAGGAAATTATCTGGCCCAATACAGAAAAAGTCATAGTTAAAAATATCAGGGATGTAAGAATTTGGTCTCTCAATTTATGAACCACAGAAAGAGCAACAACAACGTATTTTGAACCTAATCTTGCTCTTGGTGTCACAGAAACAAACCGAAGACATTACCTAGCCAGTTCAGTATAATAACTATTCTAGTTGAGCATTTGTTCTCTTAAAAAATATGTATTTCTCACCATCATCAACCCCATCCTCTTTTTTCAAAAGAAACATACTATTATTAGTACAGATAATAAAGTAGCACATAATCCAAAAAGCAAGATGGAAAAGTCATCCAACCCATTATCAAACCATAACCAAACAGCACATATCACACATTAAGACACATATGGACGAACTTTATAAGCCCAACAAAGACGTCCAACTCCTATATTGTCAAAAAAGGAACATTTTCGAAATCGGTGGTAACAAAGGCCCAAAAAGATGCTCAAAAGTAGATCCCGCCCCCTTCCTATTTTGACCATCTCAAGGTTCTCGTAGGGCCTCTACATAGAACTAAATATCTCTGCTGGTGGAATCATTCTCTTACTCCGTATGTCTAAACATCTTGCCATACTTGTTTTTTCATCTTATCATCTATTGCTAGAAATTGGCCCCATACTTCCAATACTACTGTTAAACAACTATTTACTCAAAAAACTTAAACTGTTGGATATGGTGAAATTTAAGTGTTTATATTTCAACACACAGCCTCACGTGGAGACTAATATTTGGGCCAGAAATCTTTTTTTAACAATTAGGATAACGGCAAAACTCGCACAAAGAACTATACCATATTAAACAACAATCTCTACTCCAATTCCAAAGGCTTAAACTGTCGGAGATGGTGTAACTTAAATATTTATACTTTAACAACTACAAGTTAGTCTTAAGGTATTGGCATATGAGAAAAATATGAAGGTCAAATGTAGTGACAAAATAATTAAAAACTTGTAATTAATGAACACTAACATTCTTCAATATGCCTAATAATTACATATCCAAGTGAAACAAAGGGATTTGTCCTGTTATCAACCCTAAATGGCAAACTTCAAAATTTTTGGCTGAACATCCAATTTGAGAGATGCTTATGAAAATGTGGAATTGTAATGGAACTTTATACTGGAGGGCAAAGAAGATCAGGAGGCTGCTTTAGATCAACACTCAATAAGAGATCTCTAATGAGTGGTCCAACCCATTGGTGCAAGAGGCAGCAAAGTAACCCTACTAATTCCGTCCTTTTTTTTAAGCTTAATTTTTTTATATGGTTTTTCAAAAAAAAAAAAGATAAAAACTCTTCAGTTAATATTTTTCGATAGCACTATAATTGGTGCTTAAGTCCAACAGATAGTATTCTTCTCTATTCACGAGTGTCTGAGTATGTAATAGAGTGCTTTATTTCAATTGTCTTCTTCATCCAAAAAAGGATAGATATTAACAAATCTACAGTTGCACCAAAAATCAAGACAAGTACTCTCATTCCGTGTAAGAAATTTAGCAAATAAGTGAAAAAGATACCAGCATTATGCGTTAATGGTTACCTGTCAAGAAAAGGCATAAGAATATAGTCATGAACCAAAAAGTCCAAGGCGCATGGTACAACTATCAAGACTGCCAAAAATTTAGCCTGCAACAAGAAGGATGAAAAAGGATGAATTACTGATGCATATCAAACGCATGTAAATAAAAAGTACACGATTGAGAATACTAAAAAACTAGAATAACAGATTAGCTCTCAGGGTATTCAGATAATCAAATTCAACACATTTAGTGTAATATGTCATAACATTTTAAACTCCGGTTAAGTCCAACATCATGAAAACGTTAATTATTAGTTATTTAAAAATTTACAATTGCAATATTAAACTTCAACGTTTGATCATTTGAGCTCACAAGGAACACAGGTCAAGGAATGTGGAGGGGACAAGCTAGAAATTCACCAGGTGGAGTAGGGTACACTTTCACCTCCACAAGGAGGGACATAAGGCATTGATATATGGTGAGGACAACATTAGCTTTTACACAAATAGAAGCGGATAGGACGTATGAGAGTGCAAGATATGCGTAAGGCCTCTACTATAACTATAGGATAGCCCTCTTTGGAGAATTACTGCGTTTATTCAAGTGATGATCCAAATACGACAAAAATTTCTCTTTTGTTGATTTCTATACCGGTGAGCCTAAACTAAAACGCATATTTTTTGTTGCGTAATAGTTTGAGTAAGTCTTGAATGAACCCCTCGAAAGCTTGACGCAAATAAATGAGTTTTTGTTCTACATCTTAGTTGAAATCAAAAACAATTAAGTATTAGAGAGGACGAGAAGAAAAAATAATTAATGTAATGAGATTGGTGGATAGGATGTGTACATCCTATCACCTATATATATTAGTTTGGTATTGATAATAGGAAAGAATACATACAGTAAAGTAGACAAGAGGAAACGTTGGAAACTTTCAAATAGGAAAATCTAATAACTCTAACACTCCTCCTCAAGCTGTAACATAGAGATCGAAAATACCCCGCTTGGAACAACGACTACAAAAGTTTAATTGCGCCAAGGGTTTGGTAAGAATATCATCAAGTTGATCACCAAACTTGCCATAAGGAGTGGCAATCTCTTTTTGCATTAAGAGATCGCGAATAAAATGGCAATTAACTTCAATGTGCTTGGTACGCTAATAAAACATGGGAATATTGTGTTATGGTATGATTGGTATCTACCACAACTGAGATAGTCTAGTTACGATTGCTACTTGTTGAACTTGACATTTTCATATCTTCTCTTACTCCTATGTACTGCGACAACACCAATGCTATTCAAATTGCTCAAAATTCAGTCCTCCAGAAGCAGAAAAAGCACATTGAGATTGATTGCTACTTTGTGCACCACCATCTTCAACTAGGCACTATCACTCTCCGTTTTCTTTCTGCTACCTGGCAGATAGTAGATTTTTTTACGAATTCTCGTACCGTAGCATGATTTTGATTTTTTCCACCACATCATGAGTTTGAGGGGGGTGTTAGAATATTAATATTAGTAGTAGTTTAGGCATTTACGTTATTCTGAGTTGCCCTACTATATAAGAGTCTACATTGTGTATTATAGGTTAAGTTGCATTACAAACTTGTTTAGTTGAAAACTTGAAATAATATCTTTCTCTTATTTCTCTTCTCTGCTTTTTCCTTTTCTTTTTTGATCAATGTTAACACAAACATGATCCTGTTCATAAAATTTTTGTGCTCCTGCAGTTTCGCCCTCAGCTCTGATCATTGTAATCACACAACAATAAAACCTGGAAGATTTTACTGTTACAGGCAGTGAGAATAAATTTGATCAAGACCACTACTTGAATAGTTAAACAATTATTTGTGAGTTTTTTTCTCTTGGCATCCCAAACTGAAAAGACCTGGTCTTTTTCCCAATCAAGATTTTACTGTCCAGTGGTAAAATACTGATGTCCAAAATTCCATACTTCACATATCTACATCCCTGAGTTGCATTACTTCACTTTTCAAAATTTTTACACTACAAGCCAAGCCCTTTTATGTTTTTATATAATGTTTCTCTAGGCACATTACATGTTCGGTGAACCGACTAGCTTGTTGTCCATGCTCCCATTATGCCTCTAAGCTAATTTCGTTACAGGCAATGTAAACTGGAGCTCTTGATAAAAACAAATGAGCATTAAAACTACTACTGCATACACGGCCATTGCATCAACAGGGCATATTTATCATACAACCCCATGCAGTTAAAAGGTCAAGTGTCTGCTGAAGGGACATTCTGTGATCAAATGATTACCTTAATCATTTATCATTATCTCCATTTGTTGCATGTAATTACATTTAAATGGGATATAAGTCGTTTTTGTCTTCATCAACATTACGTGATATGTCAGAAAATGAAATCAGGAAGGTTCTCTGTCCATGTGTAAAGGCTTTGGACATCATCAAATTTAGTTATTAGCACTGTTCTTTCATTGGGAAAATGTTGTAAGATATCCAGGACAAGAGGACCAATTTCTGTTACAATGTGACATATGACTAAAACTGCATTTCACAAAAGTGAAATCTTTCTAATCATGCTATCTGACTCCAAACTAAGGAAAAAAAAAAGGATATTTTGATCTGTGCTCTAACAAAAAAGCAATTAAATCATCACCAGGATGTAAGACAGTGCAAATGTACATACCGAATTGAATGAAGCATACCGAAAAATACGGTCTTCATATAGCATGTCATCATCTTCCTCCCCGAGGACTAAATCCCTCACAGACTTGACCAAACCCCGACCAGGAATCATCTCACCTGAATCTTCTTCCCAGACATCCTCTCCCACTTTACCATTTCCATCACTCAAGTCTTGAACCCACGATGAACTATCAATATCTTTATGGTTTCCATCAACAAGCCAGTCTTCCCACCTTCGATTCTCTTCATTCCTCATATCTTCTTGTGCTTCCCTCAATTCTATGATTGCCTCAGCTCTCCTTTTCCAAGCTTCAAACTTTTCACCCTCTGAGAACTCCTTATCAATCGAGCCCTCAAGCTCCTCCCCTTCAAGCATGTCCTCATCCTTCAAACCAAGCCAATTTCCATCATCATCAAAAAAGAATTTCTGCCACCAAATTCTCTTCCTAGAATGTTTTTTCTTTGCATTTGGAACCAATCCACTTATCCTTTTCTTTCTACTTCTCAATTGAGCCACAAAACCCCAAGAACAATGTGGATACAATGACTTATAGTAGGCTCTTTGATTAAAGAGGACTAAGTTTTCACATAAGACCATTGAAGTGCTCATTAAGAACATTTACAGAGAGCCACATTTTTCAGCCTCATAAAATAAGTAAAACAGTCCAACTTCTAATCAAACAACTTCTTAAGAACTCACAAACGTGATATCTTATCTAAATACAATTCAACATTACTGTCTGTGTCGACAGAGCTGAAGAGGTTCCCCATACGGAAACCATTAATGCCCAACATATCCGGAAAAAACACCCAACATACTAAACCCTAAACCCATAAAAATAGAAGACAAAACTTGAACACAAAGAATGGAGAAAGAAGAGAGACACGGTGTTGAAGTATTACTTTTGAATAAAGCGTTTGCGTTGTTTTGCTTAGCCCTGCCTTTCGTTGAATGTTGTGAAGTTTTGGGGCAGTCGGTTTGGAACGAAAAGACTTGCAGGAAGAGGATAACGGTTTGAGCGCAAAAATTTAGATAAACAAGTTTACTTTACCTTTTTAGCCCATCTAGTGACAGAATCTGTGGATGGTATTTACGTAATTTGGTTAAACTTTTGGGAGCAAATGTTAAATAAAGCGCATATGTGCGGCTGCAACTTGGACGGATGAGTACGAGTTCAACCCCAAAAAAATTGGCGTGAAGTTTTAAGGGGCTGATTGTTTGACATTTTTGTTTTGTATCTTGTGTATTAGTTTTCAGATTTTATCAAAAAAAAAAATTAAACAAAAATATGTTTGGTATTTGTTTCTGTTTTATATTTTACCTAAGTTGTCTTGAAAACATGGCAGGAAAATGAGAACAAAAAAATTTGTTCCAAAAACATATGAAACATGAAAGACGCGTGGAGGAGTTTAATGAGGTCTCTACTTCGACCCCTGTTAGTAACAAAATAGTATTATTTTTATGATAATATAAATACGGGATTTTTGTGTATTTTTTCATTCGATCTCAATTGTCTCTCCCTCACAACCGAAGCTTCAAAGGAACGATTCTCTTATCCTCTGCGATTGTGTCCTGCGATGTCATGAGCCCAGAAGATTGAACGAAGAAGAGGTTTCCCCTTCGAACTCCTAACGAAGAATCAAGTCTCATCCATCGATATCCTCGCTGTGAAGGTAAGGTAAGTATCCATTACATTAGAATAGATCTATATATATAGGATTATACCAGGGCAAATCTATGTGTTTTATGGTGTCTGTGTGTGACTTTGTGTGTGAATGTTTGTTTTGTGTGCAGATCCATCAAAGACAGGGGATCTTTTTTCATTTTGCCCTAAAAAATTGTGGATTTATGTGAATGAGTTTGTGTGTGGTCTGTGTGAGAATTCGTGTGTGTTTTGTGTATAGATCCATCACAAATCCCTCTCTTTTTTTTCATTTTCCCCTAAAAAATTTGGGATTTATGTGAGTGGATGTGCAGAGTGTGTGAATTTGTGTGTTTGTGTGTGTGAGTGTTCTGTTTTGTGTTCAAATCCATCACAGACCTCCCCTCTTTTTTCATTTTCCTTCTTTATGTGAGTGGGTGTGCAGGGTTGTTGTGTTTGTGTGAGTTCGTGTGTCTGTGTGTGTGAGTGTTCTATTTTGTTCTGTGTTTGGGTTAGTGTTCTGTTCTGCACCATAGTTTGGTTGAGCTGATCTTCTCCCTCGAGCTTCTTGGTCCTGAAATCAAGGCAACCAATAATGTAAAGAGTTATGTAATCTTTGATTGTTAATATTGATTTTAGATTTCTGTTTTTAATATTGAAAGGTATTATATTGACATTTTTTGGTGTTTCCTTCTATTGTAGATATAAGTGAACTAAACCTACCTAAACATGTAGCATATCATTTCCCAATGGCAAGGATGATCTGATGAACTTCGAAGTCACCATTCGGCTTTATGAAGTATTTTATTTGTAAATATCCTACCACATGCTAGTATTCTTTCTGTTGTTCAATTGAGTTAAATTGTCATCATCCTTTAGCATATGGCATGTTGACATGACTAGGATGATAGTTTTCGTTGTTTTGTAACTCATTGTTGTGAAGAGATGGTTACGCAAGTTTATCATTCCAATATTGACTTGGAAGTTGGAAGGAAATGACTTCCTTAACATTCTCCGGGAAGACTGGAAACTTGTCCTTGACATAAGCACTATAATTTATGGCTTTGTATCATCTGTTCATGGTATTTTTTATTCTTCTACTCTGGAGCCAGAGTATATATCTAGCTTTTTGGTAATTTGATTGGTAATTGGAACACTTGTTTATGCAGGATCCTTTCAATCCTGATGTTGCTGCTGTGTTGAGGGATAACCCAAAAATGTTTGAGTTGAATGTGAGAAGGGCAATGGTTGGTGGGTATGTGGGACAGAGCTTCTTCCCTCGATGCTTATAGAGTCTGAAGGCAACATCGAGTATGATGCACATCGCTAATGCTGTAAAGTTTAAAAACCTGGATGCCAAACCTTCTATTCCGTCACTCTATGGTTTTTCTACAACACTGGTGACGGGGGTACAAGGTTCTTGGAATTTTTGTGCAGAAAGCTGTTTGTATGCCAGTGTAATGTTGTGTTCGTTTCTTATGGCTAAATTATCATGTAAGACTATGGGTTTTAGGTATCTACTTGGAGGAAATGATGATTATAAACTGCTTATGATTCATGTTTGCAATGTCGCCTTGGCTTTTTCTCCAACATTTGTGACACTATTATATTTATATATATGCGTGTGAATGTGTGTGTATTATGTGAGATTAATATCAAACTTTATTATGATGTCTTGGAATTTATTCTTTACCAACATTGTCAAAGGTTACCAAACATGTTTTTTGTTTTTATTCTCATAATTTGATAGCCAAAAATGACTTCCAAACATGTTTTCTATGTAAGTGTTACCATAAAACAGAAACAAAAATTGTCTCTGTTTTTTTATTTTTTTAAAGACGCAAAAACAAAAACGTTACCAAATGACCTATAAAATTTTGGGTTGGATCTAGGTTCAAAAACTCCAACCCGAATTGAATTCGGGTAACACCCAAGTTGAGCACTCGGGTTATTGGGTCAACCTAAACCCAACAAATTAAATATATATATATATATATATATATAAACATTAGCCACTAAAGTTTTGGCTTTCTACCTCTCTCATTATCTCACTTGTTCTCTGCATCTCTCCATCTCTCAGCCTCTCTCTTTCTCTCTCAGCCTCCTTCTCACTCCCTCTCAGCCTTGATCTACGCTGAAGACCACGACAAAGGCCATCCTTGATCTGCACCAAATCCTTGATGGCTATGGCATCTTAGATCTGGTGGCTATGGCATTTCAGATCTGGTGGGTGTGGTGGTTGTAGCTATGTGGGTAGTGGCATAGTGGTAGTGATGGCGATGGGCAGTGGTTGTAGTGGTAGTGGCGGCGGCTATTGGCCATCAGAGACCAATCTCTTCCATCCACCTAAAGATCCTTTACTTTCATTACCATTCAAGAACCACGAAAAACCAATACGTGGGTTTCTATCCTTTTGTTTCCCTAAGAAACAAACTTTCCAAATAAAATAACCTCTAAAAAATTGTGATTCACTGGATTTGATTTTCATTCTTTTTTGGCTTCCCAAAAGGTGTCCCTTAAAAAGTTTGAATCTTTTCTCTTCACAAATCTTGCATGTAGATTGAAAGATCCCACCATTCTTTGGAAAAGTTGGAACTCGGGTTTTTGCTAATATATTTATGGGTTCTTATAGTTCATGAATTCCATGGTTTTTGCTTTATCATCACCTCAAGGAATCACTTGAAGATTGTGATTTGAAACTCAAATTCAACTCAAGCCCGCCCGAATTTAACTTGGATAGTACTCGAGTTGAGTACATTGGGTTAGGTTCGGGTTCGGGTTCGGGTTCGTGTTTGGGTTCGGGAAGAAGATTATATATGTAGGGTTGGACTAGGGTTAACCCATCAATCCATCCATTCTGCTAGAGTTTTACCCATACGTATCACTACCAATAACTAAGCACACCACAAATCTATTTATCTATAATGAACTTTTTGCGGTGGTAAACCCCCACATGTTTATCTTGGTATAGTGACGTAATTATTTTATAATGCTCATATATTAATGACATAAGAATGAACTATATAGATTGTAAGAGTAAAAAAAAAACTTTAGGAGAGGTAATAGAGTGGGTATTAGATGTTAGAAAGTATTCTGTAATTAAAGCACATTTTAGAGAGAATTTGGGTAGAAAGAAATATGACACTATCTTAGTATTTGGAGCATAACTTTTTTTCCCTATGTTCGTTTAATCTGAATTTTTTACATTAGTCACTACACTTCTAGAAAAACAAAAGTGTGTTTCACGATTATTTTTCAAATCGACCTCTAAATAGGCCAAAATTTCATTGGCAGTTTAGCTAAAACTTGAAGTTTGTTCGAACATAGTGGATCCGTTCAAATGATAGTTAGTCCTAGTACTTTTGTGTCTGACATAAACTCTAATGGAAAACCAAAAGTACTAGGATCAACCAACGTTTGAAAGTCAAAATGATATTCGAACGTCAAGTAGATAGTTTGAACATAAGGTTGCAATTTTGAGTATTAGATTTGCGCCGATTGAACTGTTTTCTCATACTATAAATACCCAAGTACATCTTCCCTAGTCCTATTTCATCAATTCTAACCCTAGAGAGCCTTAGAGAGCAAGAGAGAAGAGAAAAAACACAAGATTAATGGGGAATTTTGTGTTGGAATGGATCAAATATACTATGTTTTCACACAAAAACAACGGAATCGAGATAGGGAATTCTTCTTGAGTTCTTTCATTGAGAATTAGGATTTTATATATGTATGATTTCAATATTATTGATAGATATATAATAAATACATATGAATTCTTGGTTTCTTTATCATTGAAATGTAGTTTTGAACGAAATACATGTTTGGGTTTAATAAATACTTGTTCTTGAATTTTTCAAAACCTTAGTTTTCTAGATACATGTTTGATTGTGAAAAATACATGGATTCTTGATTTCTAAATTTTTATTCTTAATTTCTAAATTTCTATTCTTGA